GTAGTTGGTAGTTGGTAGTTGGTAGTTGGTAGTTGGTAGTTGGTAGTTGGTAGTTGGTAGTTGGTAGTTGGTAGTTAGTAGTTAGTAGTTAGTAGGTAGTAGTGAGTAGGTAGTAGGTAGTAGGTAGTAGTTAGTAGTTAGCAGTTAGGAGTTAGTAGTTAGTAGGTAGTAGTTAGTAGTTAGTAGTTAGGAGTTAGCAGTTGGTAGTTGGTAGTTAGTAGTTGGTAGTTAGTAGTTAGTAGTTAGTAGTTAGTAGTTCGTAGTTGGTAGTTGGTAGTTGGTAGTTAGTAGTTAGTAGCTAGTAGTTAGAAGTTAGTAGTTAGTAGTTAGTAGTTAGTAGGTAGTAGGTAGTAGGTAGTAGGTAGTAGGTAGTAGTTGGTAGTTAGCAGTTAGCAGTTAGTAGTTAGTAGTTAGTAGTTCGTAGTTCGTAGTTCGTAGTTAGTAGTTAGTAGTTAGTAGTTAGTAGTTAGTAGTTAGTAGTAGTAGTAGTAGTAGTAGTAGTGGTAGTAGTAGTAGCAGTAGTAGTAGTAGCAGTAGTGTTAGTTGTAGTGGTAGTGGTAGTAGTAGTAGAAGTAGTAGTCGTCGTCGTAGTAGTGTGGTAATGGTAATGGTAATGGTAGCAGCGGTAGTGGGGGGTGGTAGTGGTGGTAGCAATGGCGGTGGTAGTTGTGGGTCTAGTTTTTGTTGTTTGTTGTGGTTGCGGTTGTGTTCCTTGTTGTGCTTGTGGTCGTTGCATTGCCCGGAACCATGACCAGAAACAAGAATCAGGGAGTTAACGACGATGCCGCAACCCGTCGAAACATTTGGAAAAACAATTTTGACATGTGCCAGCTGCGAACATGCAGAGCAATCAGTGTGCTCGACAAATCATTCTACATCAGTTCCCCGCGCTGCGGCCCTGCGCAATTGAAGCTTTGGTTCTTTGGTCGTGACACTGTTTGCGGGGTGTTGAGTTGAGAACGTCTTGTTTTTTAAATCGCATTTCTTCCAGTGCGTTTCCCTCACTGCAACTAGGTGCGCCGGGGAGTCGGGCTGCAGGTCTCCCAGTGGCAACGCGCGAGGCCCCTTTGTGTGTCACACAGTGATTGCTTTTATTTCAAAAACAAAACCGTTGTTTCAACACAATAAAGCCGTTCTTTTGTGTATCGTGCCGTGTACCTTGTCACACACAAAAGTGTGAGCGTTGTTCGATTCAGCTGTGATCCCGGCAGTGGCCCTTGGCCGAGCCCGGAGACGTTGACAAGGTTTTGGGTATTGAAATTTGATCAAATGCAAACACGCATTTTAATGTTGCCATCCTTTGTGGGTTGGGCAGTTTGGCGGTTTGGAGGTGCGAGAGATTGAGCCGGCTGACGTCGTACCGACGTAAAGAAGTGGGGAGGGGACAAACAATTGCAAGTGGGGGCGATGTGCAACAGGGCACAGTTGGCAACACCTTTGTCGCCGCAAGCAGCATGCTTGGAATTTTGCGACGCACAAATTCGATCGAACGTGCACTCGCAGTGGTGCAACCGCACTCACCCCTAATACAACGACATCATCCAACGCCTCCTGGCACACCAATGTGACACGTTTTCTAACGATCTTTGTCGCCCCAACGGCGACACCGCGACACCAGCATTGCTTGCTTCCCAGGAAGGTGTCCTGCCGCCAGTGTGCCTCGATGCTAAAGTCAGGAGTGGTAGACCCTCAAACCTATTGTCAGGGTGCCAACGGTTCGAGTTGTATCCGCAGAACATTGCGGCAGGTCGTGATTTTTTTGGTTTGAGGCCGGCCTTCGCACAATCTTAGCCCATGCTGTAACCACATCCCGGTGTTGCTGGTTGCAGTCCCACCCCCCAGGATGGGCAAAGTTCACTGCTCAGCAAGCCTCTAAATCCACCAGGCAAGCTCTTACCATTTGGTTGAAGGTGGGCAGCGCTCCGTCTTGTGGAGGGGCGGATTGCAACGCATGTTGTGAACCATGCGAACAAAAAACCCGCAGCAATTGGGTGTCCGGGTTCTTTTGGTTATGTGGGCCGGAACGATTGCGGTTTCAAGTTCCGTTGGCATCTTGTGACCTTCTGGCCCGGTGATGGTCTGGGAACATGTGAATGAAAAAAAAGTTCCGCGTGCAGAAGGCGCTCAACATGAGCCTGGGCAGGGCGTTTAGGCTGACTAGGCCCCAGTCACCGCGCACGACTATGCACGAACTGCTCGCAACACAAATGGAAAACAAGATCCCTTGAAAAAAATAGATTCCGACTCCTACCCATATTTGTGCTAACGGGTGCTGTTTTGAAGTCATTCAAGGTGGAAATGTTGGCAACAATGGGAAGAGAAATTTGGAGGAGGCGTTGCTCCCTGAACGTTCCGCGTCCCACAAAATATTTCGAGCAGGGGAATGCAACCCACCATTATTTTAACGACAGTATGGTTGCAACAGCGACTCTTTTGCATTTAGCGTTTAAAGAAGCAATCCCCTGCTGGGGCTGCAGCACCCCCAAATCTGTTTTCATGTTGTTGATGATGGTAAAACAGGGTGTGGGACCACAGTGTGTTTGGAGGGAGGTGCGGCCTCATGTTTTTTGGTGTGCATCGATGGCTATGGGGCGTCTATCCTGCGTGACGACAAATGAAATTTTATACATACTCGTTGCGAGCCTTGCAGCAACTTCATTCAAACGGATTCAAACGTCCGTTCCAGAACCCTTGCATGCATTTGAGCGCAAGCCAAACAAGACCTGTGGGCCAAATTTTTTCTTGTGGGCTCCGTTGCGCAATGGCCCGCCACGACATTTTCGATGGAGAGCCAACTGTCAAACAGGGGGCGTCCATTGCCATGATTGCCCGCGTTGGTTATGGCTTCCTTCGACGCTTTTGAGCGTGGATTTGCAAAAGCAAGCTTGGCTCAGGACTCTTCCGTTGGCGGGTTGCCGGGCAACATGTGTGGAGGTTGCCGTGGAAGAGTGAAGGACCATTCATCTATCATGCAGCCAATGTTGTCGCAGCAACTTCCCTGTGGAGGATGGTGTTGGGGTGCCCTTTACGAATTTGCTTCAGCTTTTGCCAAACAAGGAGCGGTGCGCCACTTACCATTTTCTGTCATGAGTGTGTTGTGCACATGTTAAGCAAGAGGCACCTTTAAGCATTTGTGCGTGGTGGACTCGGTGCATGTAGAGGGCTTTGAAGCATTAGAGTGAGATGAGTGACGCGACCACGTGCTTTCAATTTGCGGGTGGCTGCAGGAATGGGTGCCATTCGGCCACGAGGCCCTTTGATGCAAGAGCTTGTTTGTCAATTCTCGTCTTGGCTTTGCTTGAACTTGTTTGCTTGAATGACACTTTTGTTCCTCACAGACAGGTTGGGTCGTTGTTTGCTTTTTATAGCCGCAGGGTAATCCAAAGAATGGCTTGGGGTGCTGCGGGTTGTGGTTGCCGCTGGCCTTGCCCGGGTCGTTGCAGCTGGATGAAGATGATCTCTCCTCCCTGTATGTGTGCATGCCCGGTGGGGCCCCCATTGCTAGTGGACCCTGAATTGGGTTGCAGGCTGTTCACTTAAAGTTTGCCAAGAAGTATCCACACGGTGGCGAACGAGGGTTGTAATATCCAGAATGTGGTGAAGGATGGTCAGTAAGACAGGAACGGTGATCGCCTGCCGCTTGCTCAAACCTGAGATGAGCCAAAAAACCAGAGGAAAACTGACCTTGGCAATGAAAAGGGGGGAAAAGCACCGTGGGGACAAACAGTGACGCAATGCACGATGCGCCTTCCCCTTGGACACGAAATGCCCTGCACATGGAAACCCTTGTATCAGCATCATCAGCCTAAAAAAATTACCAAAATGCTTTCCTCCGATTGCGTTACGTCCCTAGGCCTTGAAATTCCAAAAATATTTTGGACGATGTGGTTTGTACTACTCTATTGTGACGATCAGTTGAATGTCATGAGTAGGATTGCTGGCTCGACTTGGGCAATCTTTGGTCACAACCGGTTCGGGAGAAAATGCGTGCCTAGTCCTGTTTTCCTACGAGCATGATGTCGACCAAAAAAAGATCATTTGTTAGCAAAAATGCAAGTATGGTTTCTTTTGCATACTCGTATATCATTTGCCCTATTTTTGTAGTCTTGCTGCGCTCGAGCCTGCCTGAAATTCTTGGAGCTCTAGGCCAATGTCTGATCAACCAGGGATTAGTGAAAGCGGTTTTTTTTAGAGGAGTATATCGACTGCTCAAGCGATGGCAAGTTTTCCATTTCTTTGCACACATCCTGCATCACATCTTGCAATTCCACCGGGGTCCACAGCCTGCAGCTAGCAACGGAAGCAGGCCCAACCCTCACCATCCCATCCGTGGATGGCATCGGGGCATATGACCATGTCAGCCGGACAGCCATGCTCACTGCTCTGCGGAACGCCAGTGAAGCCAACCAAACCCTGCCCTTTTCAAGGATGTTCTACAGCACCCCCTCGACATACCTGCGGGTAGACCACTCTGGCGAACCGCTTGACCCCTTGGGAGACCACGGGGCAGCATGTCCTGGATCGGGTGCCTTGAGACCACGGGCAGTGGGCATGGAAAGGGCAGCAGCCCGCATCTGCCGTGAAGCAGGAGCCACAGTTAGCACAAACGTTCTCGTCCGAGGCTTGAATGAACACACATTCGACCCAACATGATGATCGGCGCATCGAGGTCATCGCGAACGGCCTCCCGCTTTGGAATGGCTCGCAGTTGGCAGTGGACACCACGCTGTTATCCCCGTTGACCGCATCAGGACAGCCCCGCAGACATCAGAGCCAAACTGCCGGAGCAGCGCTACGACTCGCACGCCAAGCTATATCTCGCACATACCTTGAAACTGACAGGCACTGGCCGAGCCAGGTTAGTGATCCTTGGGATAGAAACGGGGGGACGTTGGAGTGAAGAGATCTTGAAGGTTGGTCTTTGTCGGCTCGATGATGACTGGCATCTTCCACTGCGTCCAATGGGCAAAACCTATGGAGCATACCAAAATCACACCGTTAGACAATAATCAGTCGTTTCTTACAACTACTTTTTTATCATCGAAGAATCAAAAACTGATGCAACAACCCAATCGTACGAACATATTTTAGCCGTTGGAAGGTCTAGGTCAATACAAATCAAACCTGCGAAAGGTGCACCATGATCCGTCAATCTTTTGCTGCGGTTGCTTGAGAACGCTTTGCTTGCCAGACGTCCCAACGTAGCAGTCCTTGGTGGGCCACCCAAGGTTAAAATTTCACAACCCGCTGCGGATGTGGAGGGTGCAACGTTCGAAGGTGAAGACGTCAGTTCATGCATGTAGAGTTGAGCGTTTCACTAAGGATCCATGCACTGTGGCCAGTTGGGCCCAACTTTTGCCAAGGAAAACGGGCTTAGATACGTTTTGTGCGCCATAGGGTTGCCATGACATGTTGAATTGGTGCTGCGGAGCTTAGTTCGATCAGGGCGATGGAGGACAAAGCTTGGATTTCGATTCCGTTGTGGAACGGCCGGCCAGAATCTTTCAGTCATTTTCTTCATGAAGTGAAGTGGACACTCTCCAGTTCAAAAAAGGAAGAAAGGGCACTCTTAGCTGCGAAGATCGTGCGGAAAGCTTTACAAAGTGGTCAACCCACTCTTGTGCAGCTGATGTACAAGCTAGAACCTGATGAGTTCAAAACAGAGGAAGACGTACACAAACTGGTGACTTACTTAGAGCAGTCCCCACTCAACCGCCAGGCATTGCCAGACGCAGGAGCCAAAATCGGCTCGTACTACCGACGGCTTCATCGTCGAGGTGGTGAATCGGTCCCAGCTTTCCTCGTGCGTGAGGACAAGACTCATGATGAGATGCTCAAGGCCTTGCAGAGGCTTCTGCGAGAGAAAGAGCTCACCTTTGAAGGCTATGACATGTCCCTTGCTGAGCTTAAGGCTTTCTGTGGGATACAAGATGGTGAGTCCTTGTATTACGGCGAGCCTGAAGGTTTTGACGCAGATGAGGCTGACGATGCCAGTTCACAGAAGAGCTCACAGAAGACAACCACTCCTACACCATCTCGAGAAGGGATTCCATTCTCGACTAGATCTCAGGGTGCAGGTCCTTCGGATACCTCACCGCCGAAGCCGAAGGGTCGCGATGTGATCGAAAGACTGATGCAGAAGGGTTTGATTCCTTTGGCTGCACTGGACGTGATTCGAGGATGGATGGTGCTAGAGATGACTGTCGGGAGTGATGAAGACCGGAGGTTGATTCGGGCAGCCACCAGGAACAAATTGGGCTATACTGAGATCAAGGCCGCCCTCCTGAGCATGTATGAAGACAAGACGAACAAGACCATGTTTTCGTCTCCACTCAAAGGCCATGGAAAGAGTGGCCATGGAAAGAGCGGCAAGTCAAGTGCGTTCTATGGGGGCATGGAGGATCCCTGGAAGATAGATCCCAATGTCGGCTTCGACGACAATGAGGTGAACCATGTGGAAGAAGAGCCAGACTGGGACCAGTCGGCATGGTGGACCTCCGACACCTCTTGGTATGGCCATGCTTGGAATGGAGACGACACATCGCCCAAACATGAGGCGAGTGAGCACTTGGATGACCCAGAGATCTTCCAGCACTTGATGCAGGAGCAAGACGAGTATGAACGACAATTCCAAGAGCTTCAGGCCTTGACGGCAGAAAGTGAGCGCAATTTGGCTGAAGCACGGAGAGCAGTTTCTTTGGCTGCTCGAGATCGTGGCTGGAACCAGCCCCCGCAACAGCGTCAGCCACGCTACACTAGTGCATACCCTTTTCAGAAAGGCAAAAGGCCAGAAGCTGCTGGAAAAGGTCGCATGATGTATGGAGAAGATGCCGCATGGTTCAAAGGAGCACCAGGTGGCCACAAGGGCAAGAGCAAATCGCCCAGCCGGCCATACAGTAAAGGCAAAGGCAAAGATTTGCATTTCCATGAGCACTACATGTACCCCATCTTTTCGGCAGAGCACAATCCAGAAGAGTTGTTGGCAAGCGAGTCCATTGTAGACACCGGAGCAACGGCCACGGCCGGAGGACGTTGGGCAGTACAGCAGCTGTGCTCAGCGGTCATGAACTCCAGACCGAACGCAGACATGCGAGTATACATGAGCGATCGTCCGTGGTTCAGATTTGGAAACGGTCGGTGGGGTCAAGCACTTTTCAAAGTTTGTTTGTCGTGTGATGGCATTGAGATCAACATGTACTCCCTTCCTTCACCAGGAGTCCCTGTCCTTACTGGAATGCGTGAGTTAGAGCAACTGAATGCCATTTTAGGTTGCAGCACTGGGAAATGTTTGATCAAGGGCCACCAAACTACACTTCGAAGAACCCCGAAAAGGCATCTGGTCTTGGACTATTTGAAAGACGTCTTCATGAACTCCACTTCATCACCATCTTCCCCTTCTACATCACCCGTAAAGAATGACCTCTCTCCGGCTCGAAGGCCAAAAGTGGGCGATCGGATCTTCATCCTGGACAAGGAACCAGGGTCCGGGCCTGATGGTGCTTCAGATGGAGAAGAGACACAGTTTGTTGAGGTTCATGATTTGTGGATGTTTTCAGATTTTGCTGAAACTGAAGACGGTTGTTTCCAATCTTCTCCCATGCCATGTCCTGGGAGAGAGCCTTTGCATGAGTCCACGTGTTGTGAAGCGAGTCTTTCAGTATCTTTGGAAGAGCATTTTGAAGTGAAATCGAATGACATTTCCTTTCTGCTCAGTGACCAGCCTGAAAGACTCCAAAGCCCGAGACGAAGCGTTCGTTTTGCGACTGACGCACTTCCTCATGGCCAACGAGGACTTCATGGCACAAATGAAAGCTGCCATCAAGGAGGCAGTGGCAGAACACATGGAAGAGATGAACGGAGCCCAGGGGAGCAACGACCGCACTCGTCCAAAGGGCAAGGCAGTCCCCAAGAAAGTGAAAGGATATGTGAAGTTCGACGAGACGAGATCCCAAGGGCCAGACCAGAGGGATCCGAGGGTGCTGCCAGACACCTGGCCATGCTACGGCAACCACCAGGATGCCACCATGGGCAACAACCGCTATGGCCAGTGGACGGAATGTGCCAAATGCGGCCTTCGTCTGAAGTACACACCGACGGCAACGGCGCCGGCTCAGACCACAAAGACGAACCTGCCGATGAATGTGACCGAGGCCATTGCCAAGCTGAGGTCCGAAGGATGGGCCGAAGAAGAGATGTCAGCTCAGGTGATGAAGTCAGCCATCGAAGTGGTGGCCAAGCAGAAGGTGTTGGA